ATCAGTGATACTGAGACATCTATTCACCACCCCACGCACACCCCACGCACACTCGCCACCCCACCTCCACCTCTCCCTCCCTCCCTCGCGTCCCGCTACAGAGTGATTTTTGTGGGTGGTTAGTATAGCCTGTCTCGTTTGTATCGTCTGGTTGACATTGTCTCGTTTGTCTTGGCGCAGGCCGACCGCCACACTTAGGTTACCATCAAAATTAATCGGAGGCAAAATGTCACGGGCTGAAAGGCATCTCTCTCGCTCTCCGGAAAGGCTCTCTGCACCAGCGTGGACGGCACCCTCGTGGTGTTCACCTTCTGAAGCGCTCGCTCGTCACCGTGGCGTGCGCGATGACACCACAACCACCACCACAGCCACCACGTGACTTTTCTTTTGTGTCGTGCGCGATGACCGCCACCACCACCACGTGACTTTTCTTTCGTGTTGTGCGCGGTGCTTTCAGCGCCACAGCGCGTGGATTTGCAACGTTTGTTTTCTTTTGTTTGCTGGTGACTTTGTGTATTTCATATTGAAATCGCCTCCAGGTGCTTTTTGCTGCTGGCGGCAATAAAAGTTGTTTAAAAGTCAAAAGTCTATGCCAGTGAGCCATGATGTCATCTCGTAAAGCCGTTGGCGATTGTGGCCTGCCTTCCGCGTCGCTCTGTCCATGAGATTTACCCCAGAACCTTGGGATTGGATGCCTCCTCCAAGTGGCATCCCACTTTTCAAATTGCCCTCGCGGTGTGACTCAGTGCTTCTTCTTTGCAAGGCCCGCGGGCCACTGGCGGCTCCCTGGTGGCCTTCAGTGCGGCCCTGTGACGCGCGGCTCCCGACAATACACATCATACTCCGAGTTCTTTCGGTAAAGTCACGTGGGTGAAAAATGAAATTAAAATTAATAAAAACAAAATAAAAATCACGACGTTTTGGAGGCAACACAAATCTCCGTCATCAGGTGGGACCGTCACAGCCAGATTTGCTGTCTCCGAAACGTCGTGATTTTTATTTTATTTTTAAATCCTTTATATTAAGTTCACTTGCTTGCTTGCTTGCGCGCTTACGACCGTGCAAATCTTTCGGTCGTTTCTTAACCCACTTCCCGTAATCCAATCGAGCTGACATTTTGCACACAGACTCGTTGTGCGTGACAATTTCTTTTCGTGAAAAAATGTTTCCATAACTTTACACTTTTTAGGAATATTTTTTTATATTTAATTACCAATTGCTTAATGGTGGCAGGCAATCATCTGACCCATAGGTGGCAGCCATCTCAAGCCAGAGGACGAGAGGACTCTAGCCGCCACGCATATAAAGGATTTATAGTGAAAAACTTTGTTTTTACGGGTAATTTTTTTATTAATTTTAATTTCATTTTTTACCCACGTGACTTTACCGAAAGAACTCAGAGTATGAATCCTTGCAGTCACGAAAGCTTCAAATCTAGAATACACATCATCGTTCTGCTGTGAAATCCCCAATTGTGTCAAATGTGTGGCGACCCTCACACGCTGATGATGATGTCTTATCGACGAAAGTGCCCCCCCCTACTCTGAAAATTAGTGAAGAACGCCGGTGTAACTTAATTCCGATGTCTTCCCTGGCCTCTTTTTGTGGTGCCTCTATTGTTCCCAGACAAAGGCAGCAGTGGCGGGTTTTTGTACCGCCCGATCGTCACGTGGCCTATCCCAGAAAGTCTACGTGTTCAAATGTAAATATTAAATACAATTAGAAAAATATATTGGGATTCATGACAACCACCGTTTCGTATGACCCAAAGTGCCTCCTTCACCCCCCATGACCCCCACTCCCGTGTTTTACCCATAATCCCCGTGTCTTCTTTGGGCCCCATGTTCCCCCATGTCTTTCCCATAACCCCCGTGCCTCCTCTAAGTCCCATGCCCCGCCACCCCCAGCGTGTCTCTCCCATGACCCCGTGTCTCCTCTGAGCCCCATGTACCCTCCGTGTCTCTCCCATGACCCCGTGTCTCCTCTGGGCCCCATGCCCCCACCGTGTCTCTCCCATGACCCCATGTCTTCTCTGAGCCCATGTCCCCACCGTGTCTCTCCCATGACCCCGTGTCTCCTCTGAGCCCCATGTCCCCTCCGTGTCTCTCCCATGACCCCGTGTCTCCTCTGGGCCCCATGTCCCCACCGTGTCTCTCCCATGACCCCGTGTCTCCTCTGAGCCCCATGTCCCCTCCGTGTCTCTCCCATGACCCCGTGTCTCCTCTGAGCCCCATGTCCCCACCGTGTCTCTCCCATGTCCCCGTGTCTCCTCTGAGCCCCATGTCCCCTCCGTGTCTCTCCCATGACCCCGTGTCTCCTCTGGGCCCCATGCCCCCACCGTGTCTCTCCCATGACCCCCGTGTCTCCTCTGGGCCCCATGTCCCACCCGTGTCTCTCCCATGACCCCCGTGTCTCCTCTGGGTCCCATGTCCCCTCAGTGTCTCTCCCATGACCCCGTGTCTCCTCTGGGCCCCATGCCCCCACCGTGTCTCTCCCATGACCCCCGTGTCTCCTCTGGGCCCCATGTCCCACCCGTGTCTCTCCCATGACCCCCGTGTCTCCTCTGGGTCCCTATGTCCCCTCCGTGTCTCTCCCATGACCCTGTGTCTTCTCTGAGCCCCATGTCCCCACCGTGTCTCTCCCATGACCCCCGTGTTTCCTCTGAGCCCCATGTCCCCACTGTGTCTCTCCCATGACCCCGTGTCTCCTCTGAGCCCCATGTCCCCTCCGTGTCTCTCCCATGACCCCGTGTCTCCTCTGGGCCCCATGCCCCACCGTGTCTCTCCCATGACCCCCGTGTCTCCTCTGGGCCCCATGTCCCCTCCGTGTCTCTCCCATGACCCTGTGTCTCATCTGGGCCCCATGTCCTCCTCGTGTCTCTCCCATGACCCTGTGTCTCCTCTGAGCCCCACGTCCCCCTCGTGTCTCTCCCATGACCCCGTGTCTTCTCTGAACCCCACGTCCCCCTCGTGTCTCTCCCATGACCCCGTGTCTCCTCTGAGCCCCATGTCCCCTCCGTGTCTCTCCCGTGACGCCGTGTCTCCTCTGAGCCCCATGTCCCCTCCGTGTCTCTCCCATGACCCCCTTGTCTCCTCTGAGCCCCACATCCCCTCGTGTCTCTCCCATGTCCCCGTGTCTCCTCTGAGCCCCATGGCCCCACCGTTTCTCTTCCATGACCCTGTGTCTCATCTGGGCCCCATGTCTCCTCCGTGTCTCTCCCATGGCCCCCGTGTCTCCTCTGAGCCCCACGTCCCCTCGTGTCTCTCCCATGACCCCCGTGTCTCCTCTGAGCCCCAATGCCCCCACCGTGTCTCTCCCATGACCCCCGTGTCTCCTCTGGGCCCCATGTCCCCTCCGTGTCTCTCCCATGACCCCCGTGTCTCCTCTGAACCCCCCGTCCCCTCGTGTCTCTCCCATGATCCCGTGTCTCCTTTGGGTCCCATGTCCCCACCGTGTCTCTCCCATGACCCCCGTGTCTTCTCTGAGCCCCATGTTCCCTCCGTGTCTCTCCCATGACCCCGTGTCTCCTCTGAGCCCCATGTCCCCTCCGTGTCTCTCCCGTGACGCCGTGTCTCCTCTGAGCCCCATGTCCCCTCCGTGTCTCTCCCATGACCCCCTTGTCTCCTCTGAGCCCCACATCCCCTCGTGTCTCTCCCATGTCCCCGTGTCTCCTCTGAGCCCCATGGCCCCACCGTTTCTCTTCCATGACCCTGTGTCTCATCTGGGCCCCATGTCCCCTCCGTGTCTCTCCCATGTCCCCGTGTCTCCTCTGGGCCCCATGTCCCCTCCGTGTCTCTCCCATGACCCCCGTGTCTCCTCTGAACCCCCCGTCCCCTCGTGTCTCTCCCATGATCCCGTGTCTCCTTTGGGTCCCATGTCCCCACCGTGTCTCTCCCATGACCCCCGTGTCTTCTCTGAGCCCCATGTTCCCTCCGTGTCTCTCCCATGACCCCCGTCTCTTCTCTGAGCCCCATGTCCCCACCGTGTCTCTCCCATGACCCCCGTGTTTCCTCTGAGCCCCATGTCCCCACCGTGTCTCTCCGATGACCCCCGTGTCTTCTCTGAGCCCCATGTCCCCACCGTGTCTCTCCGATGACCCCCGTGTCTTCTCTGAGCCCCATGTCCCCACCGTGTCTCTCCGATGACCCCATGTCTCCTTTGAGCCCCATGTCCCCACCGTGTCTCTCCCATGACCCCGTGTCTCAACTGAGCCCCATGTCCCCACCGTGTCTCTCCCATGCCCTCGTGTCTCCTCTGAGCCCCACGTCCCCTCGTGTCTTTCCCATGCCCCCGTGTCTCCTCTGAGCCTCATGTCCGCTCCGTGTCTCTCCCATGACTCCGTGTCTTCTCTGAGCCCCATGTCCCCACGTGTCTCTCCCATGACCCCCGTGTCTCCTTTGGGTCCCATAAAAATAACAATGCAATTTATAACGTGCGCAAATTGGTGGATGTAATGGCTGCAACTCAGATGCGCGGAGCCAAGCTCAGAGTCGCTCGAAAGCATGATTGTAGAGGTGAGTTTTTAAGTGTCTCTTGAAGGAGGCGATTGAGGTGATGCTGCGAATGTGCAGAGGGATGATAGCGTTCCAGACTGTTGGGGCTGCCACCGAGAAGCGGCGCATAGACATGACCATCCTGGATCTTGGTATCAAGAGGAGGTCTCTCCCATGACCCCGTGTCTCCTCTGAGCCCCAGATCCCAACCGTGTCTGCTCGCCTTTGGGTCAATGCCCGTCTGGGCACAGGTGCCGTTACGGGCAGGGGCTAGTGGGGTAGGGGAGTAATTGACAAACCCTCGCTCTCCCTCTCATCTCACCCTCTCATCTCGCCTCCCACCCTCTCGACCCCTCTAAGGAGCAATTAAGGCCATTAAACCCTTGCCGTTGCGTGATTGCGCGATCTTATCAGCGATTATGGCGCGATATTCTCGAAAGTTACGGCTCTGGTGTTTCGGGGCGGTGCTCCCCGAGAAAATCGCGTATTTAAGGCGCCTCGCCGCAGCTGAGTCTTCACTCCTCCACCTCTCCGGCTCTCCCGACTCCTTCGTCTCTCTCTGTCTCTCTGTCTCTCTGTGTCCAGGAGAACCTCGTGAACGCCATGGCCGCCTTCATTGGAAAGTGGGAGCTCGAGAGCCAGGAGAACTTCGCCGAGTTCATGCGACTCAGCGGTGAGAGAGCGCTCTGCCACTCGACATCGACCTCCTCCCACTCCTCCTCCTCTTCGCTTTATCCTTAGCTTGACCATCACCACCTCCTCATTCTGTCTTCGCTTTATCCTTAGCTTGACCATCACCACCTCTTCATGCTCTCTTCGCTTTATCCTTAGCTTGACCATCACCACCTCCTCATGCTCTCTTCGCTTTATCCTTAGCTTGACCATCACCACCTCCTCATTCTCTCTTCGCTTTATCCTTAGCTTGACCATCACCACCTCCTCCTCTTCACTTTATCCTTAGCTTGACCATCACCACCTCCTCATTCTCTCTTCACTTTATCCTTAGCTTGACCATCACCACCTCCTCATGCTCTCTTCGCTTTATCCTTAGCTTGACCACCACCACCTCCTCATTCTCTCCTCAATGTATAATTACATTGACCACCTCCGAGCCTCATCATTTTCTTGAGCTCATTATCCTCATCCACACCCCTTTCATGACCCTTCGCGCCTCCCCGTGACCTCTTTCTGCCAATGTTATTCTCTCCACCTCACCATCCTCGTGGACTAATTATATCGCATTCCCTTCCTATTTTTCTCTGAACTCGTCTTGTTGACTTCCTTCCCTTGACCTTCTGATCTGTATCTTGACCTTCTCCTCTTCGTGACCTCTCCCTCCTCGCCTCCACCTCTCTTGCACTCTTCCTCTTCATTTCACGTTGTCTCATCGTAATCTCCTTGAACTTATCTTGGCCTTGTGCCAGTGGCGTAGCTAGGATATTTTGCGCCCGGGGACGAACTATAAATTCCCCCCCCCCCCCCCCCGTTTAATCACATACCAAAATGTAATTACATGACATGTAGGCTGTGTGTGGCGGGATATATAAACTTTTAGGTTGAGGTGTAGATTTGTGCAGTAGTTTCAGGCTGCCGCGCCCGCCGCAGTAAGTTATAATGTGACGTTGTAAGCCTCATTTTGGCGCCCCTTTACCTTGGCGCCCGGGGACACATGTACCCCCCTGCCCCCCCCCCAGCTACGCCTCTGCCTTGTGCCCCCCCCCCCAATCCCCCTACCAAACCTCCCCTATGACCTCCTCCCTCTGACATCCGCGCCTCCGATTAGCGCGGTTGGCCACGTACGCTCAGAGGTAGCTCTGTGATGTCCACTTCCGCGGGGCCCGTTGTCCAACACCGAGGAGCTGCACTGACATAAACTCCCCCCCTCCCCCTCCGTCGCGTGCCCGGCTAGGTGTGCCCGAGGACAAGATCGAGAGCGGCGAGAAGCTGGTGTCGCACACGGAGATCACGAAGAGCGGAGACTCCTTCACCATCTCCAACATCAACCCCAAGAAGACGCTGGTGAACACCATCACGCCCGGCAAGGAGTCGGACTTCGAGACCCTCAGCGGCAAGAAGGGCAAGGTGAGTGGGGCAGTGGGGGGCGGTGGGGGGCAGTGGGGGGGGGGCACTGTAAGGTAGAGAGAGGGGGGGGCAGCAACAGATCAGCAGGAAGGGCAGCTGGGGCGGGGGGCGGGTAGCGAGCGTGGTTTGGAGGTGTGTCGCGATGTCGCGGTTCTTTCGTTCTTTCACGAAACCATTTCGGAAATTGAGATGAAAAGGCGCGGGCCCTGCAAGTGCTTTTGTCTCGCGCCGCTGCTGGCGGAGAGGGGGTCTCCGCCAGAGGAGAGCTCAGGAGTCGACAGCGCCGTGGGGCTACGACACCAGAGACAATTTCACGATACGCCGATTGATAACACTGGTCAGCACACTTTTTCTGGCATAAGGTATCATTTTGGGGTGCTGATTCCAAATCTGGCATCGGTTTTGGTCTATCACATCAGGTTTTTGAGATATCACATATTGCATTTTCAATAAAAACTGCAGAAGAAAAATATTAAATAAATGTGGACATCTACATAAAATGATATTATAAACACACTATCCTAAAAGTACAGCACCATATTTTAACACTAACGCAGTCACTGACTCGCAAAAACTTGCAATCATAAGTGACAGTTAATTTCGGGTAAAATCAATGAAAATGGGGTATGCCGATATCATAAAATGAGATGTGATAGAGCAAATCTGAGATCAGATTTGGAATCAGCACCCTGAAATTAGTCTAAAACAGCTGCAAAGTCCAGGCCAGAATTATTTTTTTGTTTGTTGACCAGTGTAATGAATGGGGTTTATTATAATTTTTGGGGGGTGGGGGGGTTAGATGTGTCATCTTCTTGGTTCTTTCGGTAAAGTCGTCACGTAGAAGGGAAATAATACAATAATAAAAATAAAACATAATACAATAATTATCACGACGTTTCGGCCACAACGCAAGCAGCCGTCCTCAGGTGAAGAACAGGTCTGTCGGGAAGACAGCGTCTGACTTTACCGAAAGAACCAAGAAGATGAATCCCTGCGGTCACGAAAGCTTTAAATCGAAATATAAATGTGTCGCCGTGAAGCCAACGCCACCCGACACAGCCAATTTAGTGAGGTCTTGTCACGGGAACAAAACGCGTCGATTAGTTACCGGTTGAGCACTCGCTGTGTGTTGGAGAGTTAAACCCATCGACCGCATTTGCAATTCGAACTCCGTGTGACGTCTCTCCGGTGACATCGACATCAACGACAAGCAGGCTCATCGGGCGATTTGCCAGGATAGGAGAAGCAGTCCTCCTGTTTCAGAGTCTTAAACGAAGTAGGAGAACACAATGGTGTCATCACCTGCCAGCATATCAGGTGCGAAGATCAGAGGGGAGTTGATTGCGGAGTAGGGACCGTCCATAAATGACGTCACGCACCTGGGGGGGGGGAGTCAGACATTTGTGACGATGTATGACGAGGGTGGGGGGGGGGCTTGAGAAATGTGACGTCACATCAAAATGCGCAACTTTAAATAAATGTAGACAACTCGTTCTACTTAATTAAATAGACTTTTTAATAAATGTTTTCTCCTACAACATCAGAGTGCAGCGACACATTAAATACGCATTACAATGACAATAGTTTAGAGCGATTTGAAGGTATGTTTATATATTTGGGGGGGGGGGGCAGAGGTTTGTGACATCATTTTTGAGGGGGGGTCTGACTTTTTGTGACGCCATGGGACGATGGGGGGGGGGGGGTCAAAAATCGTCCAAAATCGCGTGACGTCATTTATGGACGGCTCCTTACGTCAATCTGAAAATATGCAGTAACATCTTTCCAGATGGGTTTGATCACAGTTGATCCAATATATGATGCCTTGAATAGGCATGCAATTCAAAGGCGTATTACTTAACAATACGTTTACAAGACAGCACTAAGCCGGTAGCTGTCAGAACGGTTTCAATTAAACATTTTTTTTTCTCCTCAATTTCAATATATTTTTTTAACGAGTCTCGGCCAGGAAAATTTGTATTTCTCCTCAATTTCAATAGATTATTTAACGAGTCTCGGCCAATAAGTTTTTTTTTTATTTCTCCTCAATTACAATAGATTCTTTAACGAGTCTTGGCCAGCACATCAAAGAGAGGGGGGCATTTGCAGGGGCTGCGCCTTTACCCGTTGCGTCACTGCCTCACCTCCCTGCCGCCCCCCCCCACCCCCTTTATTCGTTGCGTCACTGCCCCCCCTCCCCACCGCCCCCCCCGCGCCCCCCCACCCCCTTTACCCGTTACGTCACTGCCCCCCCTCCCTGCCGCCCCCCCGCGCCCCCCTCCCACCCCCTTTACCCGTTGAGTCACTGACCCCCCCTCCCCGCCACCCCCCCCCCCCGCTGCCCCCTTTACTCGTTGCATCACTGACCCCCCCCCCCCCCCGTTGCCCCCCCTACCCCACCAGGTTCTCGTGACTCTGCAGGGCGACACCAAAATGGTGGCGCAGCTGCCCAATCTCACGCACACCCTGGAGGTCGTGGGCGGCAAGCTGGTGGAGGTGAGTCGGCCTCACGGGGACCACTCACGGGGGCTTGGTGGTGGTGGTGGTGGTTGGTGATGGTGGTGGTTGGTGGTCGTGGTTGATGATGGTGATGGTTGGTGGTCGTGGTTGATGATGGTGATGGTTGGTGGTCGTGGTTGATGATGGTGATGGTTGGTGGTCGTGGTTGATGATGGTGATGGTTGGTGGTCGTGGTTGATGATGGTGATGGTTGGTGGTCGTGGTTGATGATGGTTGGTGGTCGTGGTTGATGATGGTTGGTGGTCGTGGTTGATGATGGTGATGGTTGGTGGTCGTGGTTGATGATGGTGATGGTTGGTGGTCGTGGTTGATGATGGTGATGGTTGGTGGTCGTGGTTGATGATGGTGATGGTTGATGGTCGTGGTTGATGATGGTGATGGTTGATGGTCGTGGTTGATGATGGTTGGTGGTCGTGGTTGATGATGGTGATGGTTGGTGGTCGTGGTTGATGATGGTGCTGTGAGTGTCGTGGTGGTCGCCTAGATGGTGATCTAAGGGGCCGTCCATAAATGACGTCACGCACCTGGGGGGGGGGGTGTCAGACATTTGTGACGATGTGTGACGAGGGGGGGGGGGGGTGAGAAATGTGACGTCACATCAAAATGCGCAACTTTAAATAAATATAGACAACACGTTCTACTTAATTAAATAGACTTTTTAATAAATGTTTTCTCCTATAACATCAGAGTGCAGCACCACATTAAATACGCACTACAATGACAATAGTTTAAAGCGATTTGAAGCATGTTTTATTTTCAAAATGGAAATATGGTTTTGGGGGGGGCAGAGCTTTGTGATGTCATATTTGAGGGGGGGTCTGACTTTTTGTGACGCCGTGTGACGAGAGGGGGGGGGGGGTAAAAAATCGTCTCAAATCGCGTGACGTCATTTATGGACGGCCCGTAACCCAAAACTTCTATTATGGATGATGTTGGTGATGTTGTTGATGTTGTTGGTGATGTTGATGTTGGTGATGTTGTTGATGTTGGTGATGTTGGTGATGTTGTTGGTGATGTTGTTGGTGATGTTGTTGATGTTGGTGATGTTGGTGATGTTGTTGGTGATGTTGGTGATGTTGTTGACCGTGCCCCGATGTTCTTCCGCTCCTTCCCAGACGCTGGATGCCGGCTCCGTGGTCTTCAAGAGGGTCAGCAAGAAAGTCTGAGTTCGACCTCTGAACCTGGTTCAACTCCCGACCTCCTAACCCGACCTCTATACCTAAATACTGCCCCCTGTCCTGGTTCAATTCCAGACCGCGTTCCATGATTTCCCCGAAGCTGTTCGCCGTCGTGAGTCGACAACAGCAACATCATTAGCCCGTAGTGGTGATGGCATCATCGCTGTGATGTTGGTGATGGTGACTTCCTCTGTGTTGTGATCCTATCTCGACCAATAAACTCTCCGATGTCCCCATTGATCTGTTGCCGTCTGGCGTGTCCGTGATGGTTATCGTGGTCGTGATGGAGATGATGATGTTGGTGCTGATGAAGATTGCTGCTCTTGAAAGTGACTATGATTATGATGGTGGTGGTAGTGGTGGTGGTGTTGCTGGTGATGATGATAACTATGAAGGATTGCTGATGGTGATCCATATTGATTGTGATGATGTTGAGACAATGGTGACAATGATGGTGGTGCTGATGCTAATGTTATGGATGACGGAGACAATGATAATGTTTATTGTGGTGGTGATGATGTTGCTGATGATGACGTTAATGTTGTTGATGTCGGTGATGATGGTGTTGACGATGGTGATGATGTTGCTGCCAGTGGCAGTGATGATGATGATGATGGTGGTGCTGGTGGCGTGGATGATGACTTGAGTTGTATGGTGGTGTCAGTAATGATGATGATGTTGATGCTGCTGATGCTGCTGATGATGGTGATGACGAGGCTCATGGTACTCATTTGAGGCTGAGTCAACCTTGGGGATGCCCAGGAGTGGTTCAGATAATCGTCACTGGTGTTGGTGTCCGTGTGCGGGATTCGAACTTGGATCGCCAGGGTCGTAGCGCAGCACGCTAACCACTGCACTACCGCTTCCTACCCACTCACTCACCCACTCGCTCACTCACCCACTCACCCACTCACTCACTCACTCACCCATTCGCTCACTCACTCACCAACTCACCCACTCACCCATTTACTCGCTCACTCACTCACTCACCCACTCGCTCACTCACCCACTCACCAACTCACCCACTCACCCATTTACTCACTCACTCACCCACCCACTCACTCACTCACCCACTCACCCACTCGCTCACTCACCCACTCACTCACTCAGTCGTTCACTCACCCACTCACCCACTCACCCACTCGCTCACTGACCCACTCACCCACTCGCTCACTCACCCATTCACTCACCCACTCGTTCACTCACCCACTCACCCACTCGCTCACTCACCCATTCACTCACTCGCTCACTTACCCACTCACTCACCCACTCACCCACTCGCTCACTCACCCACTCACCCACTCGCTCACTGACCCACTCACCCACTCGCTCACTCACCCACTCACTCACTCGCTCACTCACCCACTCACCCACTCGCTCACTCACCCATTCACTCACCCACTCGTTCACTCACCCACTCACCCACTCACCCACTCGCTCACTGATCCACTCACCCACTCGCTCACTCACCCATTCACTCACTCGCTCACTCACCCACTCACTCACCCACTCGTTCACTCACCCACTCGCTCACTCACCCATTCACTCACTCGCTCATTCACCCACTCACTCACCCACTCACCCACTCGCTCACTCACCCACTCACCCACTCGCTCACTGACCCACTCACCCACTCGCTCACTCACCCACTCGCTCACTCACCCATTCACTCACTCACTCACCCTCTCGCCACACTGCCGGTCATCTCGCTTCTCTCACTGCTTCTTCCCATCGCACCACTCCACCCTGGAAGATCTCCCTTCTTCCATCATCACCATCATCGCCACCACCATCACCTCCACCACCATTATCACCCTCTCTTTCCCCCACCACGCTCTTAACAACAACAATAATCTCGCTGCTCAATGCTAAACAGTGCTACAACCTAAACCGTGCTACACAATAATCCGTGCTGAACTCGAAACCGTGCTACACAAGAAACCGTGCTGAACTCTTAACCGTGCGACACTCTAAACCGTGCTGAACTCGAAACCGTGCTACACAAGAAACCGTGCTGAACTCTTAACCGTGCGACACTCTAAACCGTGCTGAACTCGAAACCGTGCTACACAATAAACCGTGCCACACAATAAACCGTGCTTCACAATAAACAGTGCTGAGCTCTAAACCGTGCTACACAATAAACCGTGCTAAACTCGAAACCGTGCTACACAATAAACCGTGCTACACAATAAACCGTGCTACACAATAAACCGTGCTGAACTCTAAACCGTGCTGAACTCTAAACCGTGCTAACTCCCACTCCTCTTGTCTTCTATGACGAGGGCAACACTCACCCTCGTCCCTTGCGGAGAATATCAACAAAGGCGATAAGCAGACAACTGGGTCAAACAAAGCCTGACTGCTGATGAGACGTCAAATGCCGAAACCAGTCCTTAACTAGGCACATCGGCCATCAGCCCCAGCGTTGCTTCAAAGCGAGCCTGGCTCTGCCTGCTGCTGCTGATGATGACGAGGGACACGGACTATCAAAACCGGTCGAAGAGTCTCTTTGCTTTGTTCTGTTCAACGAATGCTGCTTAAATTATTCCGTGGCCAGAAGGAAGGCCGTGGGGCTGCTGGCATGTGTAAAATACAAGCATATCTTCATGGAAATACTAATAACAACAATTCTTATTTTACGCAGAGGTCGCAGGGCATTGCCTGCTTGTTCACGCTCGTGCAGAGTCAGCAGCGCGCGTTCCCTCCACTCCCTCGCCCGGGGGCTGCTCCTGGCCTCGGGGTCCGCACGTGGCCGTCTTGGGCCCGCGGGGCAGCGAGTAGGGAGGCGTATGTTGTTTATGCCATTTATTGTGAAAATTCAGTCACAGTTCCTATGATTGCTTTTTCATTGCTTTCATAGCTTTATTTTGGTGATTTCGAAAAGTGTATTGGTTTAGCCATATTTGTTTGTTGTAGTACAGAGTTAGAATGAGGGCCTTAATCTAAGTTGTCTCGTGGTTGTTGTTGTTGTTGTTGTTTGACTTGCATCCCACTGGGATTTTTGCACACAGCGTTGGTGTACGGTGTTTTTTCTGCAATATTTTGCTGTCTTTTCTTGGATTTTCTGTTTGCACATAGTCACTTTAAGATGTTTTCTTGTTCATGTTTTTGTTTTCTGTTTGTTGCGGTTGCACCCGATTCAAGAGCCGAATGGCTCACAGGGCTATACCTAATAAATGAACTTGAAACTTGAACTTGAATGACCCCCCCCCCCCCCGCTCTGTGGTAGATTGGGTCACGTGGTAGATTATTTATTGGGCCTTACCCGCTATTTTTTAAAATCCTATATATTAAGTTTGCTTGCTTGCTTAGGGTCGTGCAAATCTTTCGGTCGTTTTTTAACCCACTTCCCGTGATCCAATCGAGCTGACATTTTGCATACAGACTCGTTGTGCGTGACAATGCATTTTCGTGAAAATAAAATTTCCAAAATTTTACACGGTGAAATTTTTTTTTTGTAAAATTGTAATCGGCCATGGTCAATTCACTGCTGGATGAAAACCTCCACCTCTTATTTCTCCTCCTCCCCCCGAAGCCACCGCCACAAACTCGCTCCGTCTCCTCTGTGGATGCGTCCCCTCGCGTTCCATTCCTTGGCTCCCACATTTATGGACGGCCCCTTTACGTATCCTTGGTAAACGTTGACTATTTTCGATTTAAAGCTTTCGTGACTGCAGGGATTCATCTTCTTGGTTCTTTCGGTAAAGTCACGTAGAAGGGAAATAATACATTAATAGAATTATCACGACGTTTCGGCCACAACGCAAGCAGCCGTACTCAGCGGTGTGGCCGAAACGTCGTGAGAATTTCATTTTATTATTTTTTATTTTATTATTTCCCTTCTACGTGACTTTACCGAAAGAACCAAGAAGATGAATCACGTTGACTCTCTCCCGAGTCGTTTGGACGGCGGAGGCAAGATGCCTTGATCCTCTGCTGCCCTCTTCTGGCTCAGCAGACCTGTGGCTGTATCGCATTAAATCCCGTCGTCATCAGTGTAAGAAGACACGTGGACCCGCGTGCGTTCCACTGGCCGCTTCAGAACCACGGGACAGGAGCGAAAAATGCAGAATACAAAACGCGGTAGAAGCGTGGACGGACGCGGCGTGCGTGCGTGTGAGTGACACGTGGATTAGAGAACGCACGCGGATGATTCGCATTGACCGTGGTGATGATGATGATGAAAGCAAAGTGAGTGCTTGGAATTGCGCTGACAGGCATCGAGAGGAGCACGTGGTTTAGAGGACACACGCGGATTCGAGACATCACCACCACATTGATCTGCATCCAGCAGTGGAGAGACCAAGATGATCGACGCTTGGAGTGATGCACGCTAAGAAATGACATCGAGAGGCAGCGAGAGGAGCACGTGGTTTAGAGAAGACACGCGCAGGTTTGGGGCCGTCCATAAATGACGTCACGCGATTTTGGACGATTTTTGACCCCCCCCCCCCCCTTTCGTCACACGGCGTCACAAAAAGTCAGACCCCCCCTCAAATATGACGTCACAAAGCTCTGCCCCCCCTTCAAATAACACGTGATTAAAATCGCTTTAAACTCATTGTAGTGCGTATTTAATGGGGCGCTGCACTCTGATGTTGTAGGAGAAAACGTTTATTAAAAAGTCTATTTAGTTAAGTAGAACGTGTTGTCTATATTTATTTAAAGTTGCGTATTTTGATGTGACGTCACATTTTTCAACCCCCCCCCTCGTCACACATCGTCACAAATGTCTGACCCCCCCCCCCAGGTGCGTGACGTCATTTATGGACGGCCCCTTGGAGACACAAATCCGGACCGTTGAGAATCAGAATCTTTATCTCTCGACTGGAGAAATCCGAGAATCTACGAAGCTCTTTTTCTTTGCACAGGTGTCTAGCTGATAATTGGGTTTTTACCCTTTTATCTAGCAACAAAACTGACACCTTTTTTACGAGGAATCATGTTTGCATAGACCACAATACCTGCAGTCATAATGCAATCAAAAAACATAACTCTGATAATGTATGCACTGTTCTTGATAGTTGCATACATTATCAGAGTTATGTTTTTTGTTTGCATTATAAAAAAATGTGTCAGCTTTGTCGCCAGATAAAATGGTAAAAAAACAATTATCATATTTTTTCTTCTGGCAAATGAGGTTCCAATGGTGTAGGCAGAGCCGGCCCAGCCACTAAGCGACCCTTGCAATTGCAAAGGGCCCCGTGGCCAGCAGAGGGCCCCCTAGAGTCACTGCGAGCTCGTGGGTGAAAAAAATCATACATCAAAGGGGCCTCCAACCAAATTTTGCTTAGGGCCCCCAAAGGTCTAGGGCCGGTTCTGGGTGTAGGTGTCGAGCCTGGAAGAGAAGTGAGTGGGGCTCGGGCTGAAACGCGTCACGGCCACAAGGGACGATGTCGTCCCATGGTCGAGACTAGTAACGGATTGGCAGCCACGAGGGCCGGGTCCGAGAATATATCCATCCAAGTACTAAACTTTGCACTATTCCAGATGTGAAGCTTCCGTGATTGCAAGAACCCACGCTCGTTGGTTCTTTCGATAAAATCACGTGGGTAGAAAAAATAATTGATCACGACGTTTCGATCGCAACGCGAGCAATCGTCATCAGGTGGGACAACCACGGCAAGAAAACAACTGCTGAAGTAGGCGAGATATTTTTCGTGGCACAAAGTTATATCGGCCTCGGCTGTAGGGGGGGGGGGGCGGGGCTGAAAGAACCAAAGAGTATGGATTCCTGCAGTCACGAAAGCTTAAAATCAAAACTCTACACTATTTTATTTGATCTGGTAAGGCCCACTGACCTACACTGTGTAGTTCTTTTTTTTTAGAAGTGACATGGCTGGCAGAAATGATAGCTCAACGAAGTGGCAACGTCATCTTCATCATCATCACGTGGAAATGTATAGTCAGCCCAAATGCTTTGAGCGCGTGATGTCGATTCGAAATGTGGAGCGGGGAATAACTGGAGGACCCGGAGAAAAATCCACGAAACCACGAGGATGGATGGAGAGACACGCAGACTGCAAATACACAGCAGCAGCAGGCGTCAGGGTCGGGATCGGGATCGAACCCACGACCTCCTGTAGTCCAGGCGAGGTAGTTAACATCTCCTAGCCACCGTGATGATGATGAGAGAGAGACACGCAAACTCCAGATATACAGGGTCGGGATCGAACCCACGACCTCCTGTAGTCCAGGCGAGGGAGTTAACCGCTCACCAAGTGGAGATGGAGCGGTGAAATCAGTTTGTGTGCAGCAGCGATCGTGAGAGGTGGCGATCACCGCTTCATCCAGCAGTGGATTGGCCGTGGCCGGTGATTGATGATGACGTCGATTTTCCACGAAATAGTACTGCTCATCACTGTATCGACCCTGGCTAATGATGATGATGGTAACATTTAGTATTCACGCTATACTTACAGCGCAACGCTAGGACTGTCACGAGGCTGCTGTGTGATGACCCCGCAGATAAAGATCCCCCGTGTAGCCTTAACAAACTGTTGGGGCAAGTGCTGTTAGCGAGCAGCACCTATGAAGGCCGGCACTGTGGCACACGAGGAAGTGGGTGGCCAGCACCACGCCTCGGTCGCCTTTGTCTCCCTCGTGGCGATGTTTACTACACACCGCACCAGGTACTCAGTTGAGGCTGAGTCGGCCTAGGGGAGGCCCAGGATCGGTTCAGATAATCCTCACTGGTGTTGTTGGTTTGCGTGAGCGGGAATCAAAGTAACGCAGAGCGCGCTAACCACAGCGCCACCGCTCCCCTATGTTATGGCCCCTCCTCCCAGACCCCTCACACAAGCCCCTCCCCCTCGCACAAGCCCCGCCCCCTCACACAAGCCCCTCCCCCTCACACAAGCCCCGCCCCCTCACACAAGCCCCTCCCCCTCACACAAGCCCCTCCCCCTCACACAAGCCCCTCCCCCTCGCACAAGCCCCTCCCCCTCACACACAAGCCCCGCCCCCTCACACAAGCCCCTCACACACAAGCCCCGCCCCCTCACACAAGCCCCTCCCCCTCACACACAAGCCCCGCCCCCTCGCACAAGCCCCTCCCCCTCACACAAGCCCCTCCCCCTCACACAAGCCCCGCCCCCTCACACACAAGCCCCTCCCCCTCACACAAGCCCCGCCCCCTCCACCTTCCCGCCAAGCTCCTCCCCCCTCCACCACCTCCGCGGCTCCACGTGGGCCCCGCTGAAGGGGCAGTGGAGTTCAACTCGCGGTGAGGCTTCTCCTCACCAGGTGAGTGGCGTGTGGCCGAGCTGTGGGTGAGTGAGTGTGAGGGTGAGTGAGGGTGAGTGAGTGAGGGTGAGTGAGTGAGTGTGAGTGAGTGAGGCTTCTCCTCACCAGGTGAGTGGCGTGTGGCCGAGCTGTGGGTGAGTGAGTGTGAGGGTGAGTGAGGGTGAGTGAGTGAGGGTGAGTGAGTGAGTGTGAGTGAGTGAGGCTTCTCCTCACCAGGTGAGTGGCGTGTGGCCGAGCTGTGGGTGAGTGAGTGTGAGGGTGAGTGAGTGAGGGTGAGTGAGTGAGGGTGAGTGAGTGAGTGTGAGTGAGTGAGGCTTCTCCTCACCAGGTGAGTGGCGTGTGGCCGAGCTGTGGGTGAGTGAGTGTGAGGGTGAGTGAGGGTGAGCGAGTGAGGGTGAGTGAGTGAGAGGGTGAGTGAGGGTGAGTGAGTGAGGGTGAGTGAGTGAGTGTGAGTGAGTGAGGCTTCTCCTCACCAGGTGAGTGGCGTGTGGCCGAGCTGTGGGTGAGTGAGTGTGAGGGTGAGTGAGGGTGAGTGAGTGAGGGTGAGTGAGTGAGTGTGAGTGAGTGAGGCTTCTCCTCACCAGGTGAGTGGCGTGTGGCCGAGCTGTGGGTGAGTGAGTGTGAGGGTGAGTGAGGGTGAGCGAGTGAGGGTGAGTGAGTGAGAGGGTGAGTGAGGGTGAGTGAGTGAGGGTGAGTGAGTGAGTGTGAGTGAGTGAGGCTTCTCCTCACCAGGTGAGTGGCGTGTGGCCGAGCTGTGGGTGAGTGAGGGTGAGTGAGGGTGAGTGAGGGTGAGTGAGTGAGGGTGAGTGAGTGAGTGTGAGGGTGAGTGAGGGTGAGTGAGTGAGGGTGAGTGAGTGAGTGTGAGTGAGTGAGGCTTCTCCTCACCAGGTGAGTGGCGTGTGGCCGAGCTGTGGGTGAGTGAGTGTGAGGGTGAGTGAGGGTGAGTGAGTGAGGGTGAGTGAGTGAGTGTGAGTGAGTGAGGCTTCTCCTCACCAGGTGAGTGGCGTGTGGCCGAGCTGTGGGTGAGTGAGTGTGAGGGTGAGTGAGTGAGGGTGAGTGAGTGAGGGTGAGTGAGTGAGTGAGTGTGAGTGAGTGAGGCTTCTCCTCACCAGGTGAGTGGCGTGTGGCCGAGCTGTGGGTGAGTGAGTGTGAGGGTGAGTGAGGGTGAGCGAGTGAGGGTGAGTGAGTGAGAGGGTGAGTGAGGGTGAGTGAGTGAGGGTGAGTGAGTGAGTGTGAGTGAGTGAGGCTTCTCCTCACCAGGTGAGTGGCGTGTGGCCGAGCTGTGGGTGAGTGAGTGTGAGTGAGGGTGAGTGAGGGTGAGTGAGTGAGGGTGAGTGAGTGAGTGTGAGTGAGTGAGGCTTCTCCTCACCAGGTGAGTGGCGTGTGGCCGAGCTGTGGGTGAGTGAGTGTGAGGGTGAGTGAGGGTGAGCGAGTGAGGGTGAGTGAGTGAGAGGGTGAGTGAGGGTGAGTGAGTGAGGGTGAGTGAGTGAGTGTGAGTGAGTGAGGCTTCTCCTCACCAGGTGAGTGGCGTGTGGCCGAGCTGTGGGTGAGTGAGTGTGAGGGTGAGTGAGGGTGAGTGAGTGAGGGTGAGTGAGTGAGTGAGTGTGAGGGTGAGTGAGGGTGAGTGAGTGAGGGTGAGTGAGTGAGTGTGAGTGAGTGAGGCTTCTCCTCACCAGGTGAGTGGCGTGTGGCCGAGCTGTGGGTGAGTGAGTGTGAGGGTGAGTGAGGGTGAGTGAGTGAGTGTGAGTGAGTGAGGCTTCTCCTCACCAGGTGAGTGGCGTGTGGCCGAGCTGTGGGTGAGTGAGTGTGAGGGTGAGTGAGGGTGAGTGAGTGAGGGTGAGTGAGTGTGAGTGAGTGAGTGAGGCTTCTCCTCACCAGGTGAGTGGCGTGTGGCCGAGCTGTGGGTGAGTGAGTGTGAGGGTGAGTGAGGGTGAGCGAGTGAGGGTGAGTGAGTGAGTGTGAGGGTGAGTGAGTGAGGGTGAGTGAGTGAGGGTGAGTGAGTGAGTGAGTGTGAGTGAGTGAGGCTTCTCCTCACCAGGTGAGTGGCGTGTGGCCGAGCTGTGGGTGAGTGAGGGTGAGCGAGTGAGGGTGAGTGAGTGAGTGAGTGTGAGGGTGAGTGAGGGTGAGTGAGTGAGGGTGAGTGAGTGAGTGTGAGTGAGTGAGGCTTCTCCTCACCAGGTGAGTGGCGTGTGGCCGAGCTGTGGGTGAGTGAGTGAGGGTGAGTGAGTGAGGGTGAGTGAGTGAGGGTGAGTGAGTGAGGGTGAGTGAGTGAGGGTGAGTGAGTGAGGGTGAGCGAGGGTGAGTGAGTGAGGGTGAGTGAGTGAGGGTGAGTGAGTGAGGGTGAGTGAGTGAGTGTGAGTGAGTGAGGTGAGTGAGTGAGGCTTCTCCTCACCAGGTGAGTGGCGTGTGGCCGAGCTGTGGGTGAGTGAGTGAGGGTGAGTGAGGGTGAGTCAGGGTGAGTGAGTGAGGGTGAGTGAGTGAGTGAGTGTGAGTGAGTGAGGCTTCTCCTCACCAGGTGAGTGGCGTGTGGCCGAGCTGTGGGTGAGTGAGTGAGGGTGAGCGAGTGTGAGTGAGTGAGGGTTAGCGAGTGAGGGTGAGTGAGTGAGGGTGAGTGAGTGAGGGTTGAGTGAGTGTGAGCGAGTGAGGGCGAGTGAGGGTGAGTGAGTGATTGAGGGTGAGTGAGTGGCGTGTGGCCGAGCTGTGGGTGAGGGCGAGTGAGGGTGAGCGAGTGAGTGAGGGTGAGTGAGTGGGTGAGTGAGTGGGTGAGCGGTGAGTGAGGGTGAGTGAGTGAGGGTGAGTGAGTGAGGGTGAGTGAGTGAGTGAGGGTGAGCGAGTGAGGGTGAGCGAGTGAGTGAGGGTGAGTGAGTGAGGGTGAGCGGTGAGTGAGTGAGGGTGAGCGAGTGAGGGTGAGCGGTGAGTGAGGGTGAGTGAGTGAGGGTTAGCGAGTGAGGGTGAGTGAGTGAGGGTGAGTGAGTGAGGGTTGAGTGAGTGTGAGCGAGTGAGGGCGAGTGAGAGTGAGTGAGTGATTGAGGGTGAGTGAGTGGCGTGTGGCCGAGCTGTGGGTGAGGGCGAGTGAGGGTGAGCGAGTGAGTGAGGGTGAGTGAGTGGGTGAGTGAGTGGGTGAGCGGTGAGTGAGGGTGAGTGAGTGAGGGTGAGTGAGTGAGGGTGAGTGAGTGAGGGTGAGTGAGTGAGTGAGGGTGAGCGAGTGAGGGTGAGCGAGTGAGTGAGGGTGAGTGAGTGAGGGTGAGCGGTGAGTGAGTGAGGGTGAGCGAGTGAGGGTGAGCGAGTGAGTGAGGGTGAGTGAGTGGGTGAGCGGTGAGTGAGGGTGAGTGAGTGAGGGTGAGCGAGTGAGGGTGAGCGAGTGAGGGTGAGCGAGTGAGGGTGAGCGAGTGAGGGTGAGTGAGTGAGGGTGAGCGGTGAGCGAGTGAGGGTGAGCGAGTGAGTGAGGGTGAGTGAGTGGGTGAGCGGTGAGTGAGGGTGAGTGAGTGAGGGTGAGTGAGTGAGGGTGAGTGAGTGAGTGAGGGTGAGCGAGTGAGGGTGAGCGAGTGAGTGAGGGTGAGTGAGTGGGTGAGCGGTGAGTGAGTGAGGGTGAGCGAGTGAGGGTGAGTGAGGGTGAGTGAGTGAGTGAGGGTGAGCGAGCGAGTGAGGGTGAGTGAGTGAGGGTGAGTGAGTGTGGGTGAGGGTGAGTAAGTGAGGGTTGAGTGAGTGAGGGTGAGTGAGTGAGGGTGAGTGAGTGAGGGTGAGTGAGTGAGTGAGGGTGAGCGAGTGAGGGTGAGTGAGGGTGAATGAGTGAGTGAGGGTGAGCGAGTGAGGGTGAGTGAGGGTGAATGAGTGAGTGAGGGTGAGTGAGTGAGGGTGAGTGAGTGAGGGTGAGTGAGGGTGAGCGAGTGAGTGTCGGTGAGTGAGTGAGGGTGAGTGAGTGAGGGTGAGTGAGGGTGAGTGAGTGAGTGAGTGTGAGTGAGTGAGGGTGAGTGTGAGTGAGTCAGGGTGAGCGAGTGAGTGAGGGTGAGTGAGGGTGAGTGAGTGTGGGTGAGTGAGTGAGGGTGAGTGAGGGTGAGTGAGTGTGAGTGAGTCAGGGTGAGTGAGTGAGTGAGGGTGAGTGAGTGAGGGTGAGTGAGGGTGAGTGTGAGTGAGTGTGAGTGAGGGTGAGCGGTGGCGCAGCGGTGAGCGCGCTGCGTTACGTGCCCTACGACCCGGGTTCGATTCCCGCTCACGGCCAACATCGGTGACGATTATCCGAACCGGTCCTGGGGGCCTCTCCCCTAGGTCAACTCGGCCCCAAATGAGTACCTGGTGGGCGGTGTGCAGTAAACATCGTCACTGGGGAGACAAAGGCGTGCTGGCCTTCATAGGTGCTACTCGCTAACAGCACTTGCCCCGACAGTCTGTTAAAGGCTATGCGGGGATCTTTGTATTTGTGTGTATGTGGGCTACCCCTAGGTCGACTTGGCCTTGAATTACAACGAGGCGTCGTCTTTGGTGTGGCACACCAGCACCGTGTTGTGGTGGCGTGGTAGTGAACCCCTCATGGTAGTTGCAGTGTTGGTGATGGTTGTTGTTAGTGGTGGTTGTTTTAGTGGTAGTGGTTGTTGTTAGTGGTGATTGTAGTGGTGGTAGTGGTTGTTGTTAGTGGTGGTTGTAGTGGTGGTTGTAGTGGTGGTTGTAGTGGTGGTAGTGGTTGTTGTTAGTGGTGGTTGTAGTTGTGATTGCAGTATTGGTGATGGTTGTTGTAGTGGTAGTTGCAGTGTTGGTGATGGTTTTGTTAGTGTTGGTGATGGTTGTTGTCGTGGTAGTTGCAGTGTTGGTGATGGTTGTTGTTAGTGTTGGTGATGGTTGTTGTAGTGGTAGTTGTAGTGTTGGTGATGGTTGTTGTTAGTGGTGGTTGTAGTGGTTGTTGTAGTGGGTGTTGTAGTGGCAGTTGCAGTGTTGGTGATGGTTGTTGTTAGTGGTGGTTGTAGTGGGTGTTGTAGTGGTGTTTGCAGTGTTGGTGATGGTTGTTGTAGAAGTTGTTGTAGTGGTAGTTGCAGTGTTGGTGATGGTTGTTGTAGTGGTTGTTGTCGTGGTAGTTGCAGTGTTGGTGATGGTTGTTGTAGTGGTTGTTGTAGTGGTGCTTGTAGTGGTAGTTGCAGTGTTGGTAGTGGTTGTGTAGTGGTAGTTGCAGTGTTGGTGGTGATTGCAGTGTTGGTGATGGTTGTTGTAGTGGTGGTTGTACTGTTGTAGTGTTGTTGTAGTGGTTGTTGTAGTGGTAGTTATTATTCGTGATTGTTGTTGTCGTGGTGGATATTATTTGGTTGTTGATAGTTGTCGTGTTAGTGGAGTGGTGGTCTCTATTAGTTAGCAGCATGCCGCTCAGCACGCACAATTAACACCGCAACTAATTAACTAATCCGAGCAATTAGGACTAATTAATTATAACGTCATACAATTACCAACATCGCAAACGTAACCGATATTTTTCCAGTCACGTACCGACGACGTTAATCACTGACTCGGTTATTTAATACACATTTTGTGAGGGAAATAAACTATTAAATCAATAAAAAATGTAACTAAAATAGCAATAGTAAAAATTTAATTAATCTTCTTGGTTCTTTCGGTAAAGTCCCGTAGAAGGGAAATAATAAAATAATAAAACTAAAACATAATAAAATAATTCTCACGACGTTTCGGCCACAACGCAAGCAGCCGTCCTCGGGTGAAGAACAGGTCTGTCGGAAAGACTCCCTGCAGTCAAGACAGCGTCTTGTACATTTGCACTCCGCTGGCGAATGAAGTTGACTAACTATGCTGTGGTCTTAACAACGTAGGAGTTTGTGGTGCGTCAATTGCATAGCTGTCAACCCATCACGGTTCACTCCGTCTTCTTGTACAGGGAAATTGAGTTGTCAGGTCCAAACGGCGTACAGCCGTTTCAATACAATGCAAAAAAAAAGTGTCTATGTGTTTGTGTTTCTCCCTTGTTATAGGACTTTGTAGAATGAACTTTGAGATGTATAAGGGGTACGGGCTGAGCAATAATGTCTGAATTGGTCTGTAATAATGTCTGGAATAAGGCGGCATGGCACTGTTAAGGGATTGACAGTTGTGTCAATGCTCAACCCGAAGCTGGAGTCAACCCTCGACCTTGAACCTGATTTGACCTCTTCCCACGCACGCCGGCATGAGTGGAGGGCTGCCATTTCCCCCTCGTTCGCTGGGACCTCCGTCCGGTTAATAAGAACAATAATTTAAATGTATAAAGCACCCGTAAAGAAATCGTTCTCAGTGGCGCTGTGCGTGGCACGGCGGAAAATAGTTTTAACAACAACCAAGTAACAAAGAAAGGAGAAATGCGGTTTTAAAATAACTAAAGAGAGAAAGCAGATAGCCCGTTAACCCATCTTTCTATATCTCCTGCATTTCATAACCGGTTCGGCTTATGTTGACAGTGCGTGCGTCACAGCGTGATGATGTATCGGAGCCCGCACATTGCCTAAAAAAAAAATCCATGGAAGCGCTCACAGTTTCTCGGTCATCACTGGGTCTATCAACACACGATACCGGTTACCAGACCTGGGTAACCGGGCAATTTCTGCCACCCGGCAAACCAATGCCAATTCCCGGACAGGTGGCAAGCCTAATGGGTGGGTGAGTGGCTGAGTGAGTGACCGAGTGAGTGAGTGGCTGGGTGAATAACTGAGTGAGTGAGTGGCTGGGTGAGTGAGTGGCTGGGTGAATAACGGAGTGAGGAGTGGCTGGGTGAATAACTGAGTGAGTGAACGAGTGAGTGAGTGACCGAGTGAGTGAGTGGCTGAGTGGGTGAGTGGCTCGGTGAGTGAGTGACTCAATGAGCTACTCGGCAAATGAATGAATTAATGGATAAGTGAGTGAATGAATGGGTTCATGGTTGCCACCATATTCCATAGACCAAACCCACGACAGATCCCAATCCCTTGGGACTGTCCTGGTCTGACCTGGACAGATGGCAACTCTAGCTCCCCACCCCAATTTGCTCTAATAATAATACTGAGGAGTTGTCGTGCGTAACAGTCAGTGACTTATTTAGTACAAGCGAGCCAGCTCTGCTGACATTGAAATTATGCAGTCCCAGAAGAGGGCCCTTTGTGCTGATGGGATGTGTAAAATGACACTTTGTTTATGTGGAGGGACCGCCATGTGAAGGAGGCACGTCGATTTGGTTATTTATATTCACCACGATGTGAATTATTGTTTTAGGTCGAATGTAACCGAACCCTCACCCCCCCTGTCTCCACTCACCCCCACGTGACCCCACGTGGCCCCACGCCTCCACTCACCCCACGTGACCCCACGTGACGCCACGCCTCCACTCACCCCCACGTGACCCCACATCTCCAGTCACCCCCACGTGACCCCACATCTTCACTCACCCCACGTGACGCCACGTGACCCCACATCTTCACTCACCCCACGTGACCCCACGCCTCCACTCACCCCACGTGACCCCACTCACCCCCACGTGACCCCACGTCTTCACTCACCCCCACGTGACCCCACTCACCCCCACGTGACCCCACGTCTCCACTCACCCCCACGTGACCCCACGTGACCCCACGTCTCCACTCACCCCCACGTGACCCCACGTGACCCCACGTGACCCCACGTGACCCCACGTCTCCACTCACCCCCACGTGACCCCACACCTCCACTCACCCCCACGTGACCCCACGTCTCCACTCACCCCACGTGACCCCACGTGACCCCTCGTCTCCACTCACCCCACGTGACCCCACGTGACCCCACGTGACCCCACGTCTCCACTCACCCCACGTGACCCCACGTCTCCACTCACCCCATGTGACCCCGTGTCTCCACTCACCCCCACGTGACCCCACGTGACCCCACGTGACCCACTCTCCACTCACCACGTGACCCCACGTGACCCCACGTGACCCCACGTCTCCACTCACCCCACGTGACCCCACGTCTCCCCACCCCATGTGACCCGTGTCTCCACTCACCCCCACGTGACCCCACGTGACCCCACGTCTCCACTCACCCCATGTGACCCCGTGTCTCCACTCACCCCCACGTGACCCCACGTGACCCCACGTCTCCACTCACCCCCACGTGACCCCACGTCTCCACTCACCCCCACGTGACCCCACTTCTCCACTCACCCCACGTGACCCCACGTGACCCCACGTCTCCACTCACCCCACGTGACCCCACGCCTCCACTCACCCCACGTGACCCCACGTCTCCACTCACCCCATGTGACCCCGTGTCTCCACTCACCCCCACGTGACCCCACGTGACCCCACGTCTCCACTCACCCCACGTGACCCCACGTCTCCACTCACCCCCACGTGACCCCACGCCTCCACTCACCCCACGTGACCCCACGTGACCCCACGTCTCCACTCACCCCACGTGACCCCACGCCTCCACTCACCCCACGTGACCCCACGTCTCCACTCACCCCATGTGACCCCGTGTCTCCACTCACCCCCACGTGACCCCACGTGACCCCACGTCTCCACTCACCCCCACGTGACCCCACGTCTCCACTCACCCCCACGTGACCCCACTTCTCCACTCACCCCACGTGTCCCCGTGTGCGCGTGTCCCCCGGTGCAGGTGTATCGCGTGGCCATGCCGTGGCGCGCCCTCCTGCTGTGGCCGGCCGTGCTGCTGCTGTCCCTGCTGCTGCGGCTCCTGCGGGGGCCCCTCCCCCCGGGGCTGGAGTCCCCCCGCCGACTCCGGCTCCTGGAGGCGGCAAACCTGCTGCTCGCCAGCCTGGTGCGGCCTGCTGCCTGCTGCCTCCCCCTCTCTCTCTCTCCTGCTGTCTCCCGCTGCTGTCCCCCCCTGCTGCCCCCCCCCCCGCTGTCCCCCACCTCTGCTACCCCCCCCCCTGCTGTCCCCCCGCTGTCTCCCCCTGCTGCCCCCCTCGCTGTCCCCCACCCCTGCTATCTTCTCCCTGCTGTCCCCCACTCCTGCTGTCCTACCCTGCTGCCCCCCCCCCCGCTGTCCCCCACCTTTGCTATCTTCCCCCTGCTGCCCTCCACCCCCGCTGTCCCTCCTGTTGCCCCCCCTGCTGCCCCCCCACCCACCCCTGCTGTCTCCCGTGGTCCTTTTGCGATCGAGTGGCGAATGCTCACGATGATCTTTCTCGGAGAATTCCATCTGCGGCTCAGCAAGTAACAAATCAAACAAACAAACCACGCATCACGCTCCATTTCAGTAACCACACCGCGTGCGCTTAATACAAAAAATACTACAACAGGCGACGTTTCGGGCAATGGCCCTTCTTCACAAGCAGGGGAACGTCACGAACGCAACCACGGCTGACAGGGCATTGATAACGGCGTTATTCGCACGCTCCCTCTTTAGAAGTTTCATTGTCGCGGTCGCGGTCACGCTCGGCTTTACTCACGGCATTTTATTCTCCCCCACCCTCCCTACACCCCCACCTCCCTCCCATCGTCCCACCGTGACCCACCGTGACACGGCGATCGGAGATTGCGCTCAGTGGGCGCCGCAGCATCTCACGGACTTGGGCCCCGTCCGGCGTAACGACGGACATCGCGTTCCGTCACCTTCGCCCTGACCCTCTGAACCCCACACCCACCGCCACACCCACCCCCACCCCCACCCCACCCACCCCCAAACTCTCGCGCAACGCTATCAGGATGAACAGCTTTAACTCGATGCATTCCTTGCCGATAACTGTGTGGCCTTGGAAAAAAAAGTATAGAATAGGCGACGTTTCGGGGAAACGGCCCTAAATCATAGCACATCAAAGACTGTCACGAGGCTGCTGTACAAAAAAAAAAACCTTTGCTCACTCACACTCACTCACACACTCTCTCACACACTCACACTCACTCTCTCACACTCACTCACACTCACTCACACTCACTCACACTCACTCATCCATACAACGTCCTCACTGCCCCACTCACTCACTCACCCAAACAAAGACCCCACGTCCAACACCAATGGAGACTAGGCTCTAAGAAAAGCTGTCTCGGGTGTGGAGCAATCAACTTCAAGGACAGTTGCATATCATTATCAGAGTTGTTTCTTTTTGTTTGCATTTTGACTGCTTGTGTTGTGGTTATTGCAAACATGATGCCTTGTATAAAGGTGTCAGTTTTTGCACCAGTTGAAAGGGTAAAAACCTATTACTAAAAGACCCCACGTTTCAGCCTTCAACAGACTGTAAGAGCAAGTGCTGTTAGCGAGTAGCACCTATGAAGGCCAGCACGGCACGGCACATGAGGGGGTGGTTGGCTACCACCACGCCTGGCCGCCTTTGTCTCCCAAGGGACCATGTTTACACACCGCACTAGGTACCCTACTTGAGGCTGAGTCGACCTCGGGCAGGCCCAGGACCGGTTCAGATAACCGTCACTGATGTTGGCCGTGAGTGGGAATCTAACCGGGGTCGCCAGGTTCGTAGCGCAGCGTAGCGTTAACCACTGCGCCACTGCTCCCACACACACACTCACCTGTGCGCTCGCACCCAGGCATGGCTGGGCTCCAGGCTGGGCTTGGGGAGCCAGGTGCTGCTCATGCGGCGTCTGCGGGAAGCCGCTCTCCGCCCGTCGCACGCGACCCCCGACGACCCCGCCGTGGCCGTGCGCAACACGCGCATCGACGGCGTCCCCGTGCGCATCTACACTCCCCTGCGAGCGGGTGGGGAGACGGCGGCCGAGACACACCGACCGCGACCCACCATCATCTTCTTCCACGGCGGCGGGTGGATGTTCGGCAGCGTGGGTGCGTGTGCGCGCGCGTGTGCGTGTGTGGGGAGCGGTGGTGTAGCGGTTAGCACGCTGCACTACGAACCCGGCGACCCGAGTTCGATTGCCGCTCACAACCACCAACACCAGTGGCGATTATCTGAACCGGCCTTGGGTCTCCCCTAGATTGACTGGCGATGTGTAAAACATCGCCACTGGGGATACAAAGGTGGTCGGGCGTGGTGTTGGCCACCCACCCCCTCGTGTGCCGTGCCGGCCTTTATAGGTGCTCGCTCACAGCACTTGCCCCAACAGTCTCTTAAAGGCTATACGGGGGATCTATGTGTGCAGTGTGTGTCTGGCTAAACACCCTCCACCTCCCCACTGGTGTCAAATTGTGCATTGTGGCGAGTGGCACCGTTGTGTATTTTGAGCAGTGCCGGGGGGGGGGGGGGGGGGTCTCTAGGCCGTTGGTAATCAGCCGATAACCCTCATGGCGCTCACGGCCACCACAGCTGCTAACGGGGGTCCGGGGAGGGGAGGTGGTGGGCGCTGGATGGCTGCAAGGGGCTGGTAACCCCCCCCTCCACTAGGAATTTATTCAACAGACCCACGAAGAAAGAATGTGCGTGCCAGAGGCCCCCGGGGGAGAGACCGGGCTCTGTAACATCTCCTCGCCAAATTGTGTTTGGCGGAGCCAGGAGACTCAGAATCTTAATTTGGACTGGAGGAATCCGATGAGCTATGAAGCTTTTTTTCACAGATGTGCAGTATGAACCGCACCCCCCCCCACCCCTCCACGGGGTTCTTACAGAAACAACAACAGCAAATCACTGTAGTTTGTGGCCGTATGGAACGTCCCAACTTTCCTCTTTGGCTCTTCCCCCCCCCCCCTCTTACTCTAAATAATCACGGTTCTCTAAACAGCTCTCTCTATTCACCACAGTAATTTTGCTGTGGTGGTTCCACCTGAAGACGGAGGCTTGTGTTGCTTCCGAAACGTCGTGATTTAATTTAGTTATCATTAAATGTTTATTTATTTATTTACTTTGTGATTTAATTTAGTTATCATTTTCTATTTATTTATTTACTTAATTTGTGATTTAATTTATTTTTATTTTTTATTATTTTTTACCTACATGACTTTCCCGAAAAAACCAAAGAATACATCCCAACTTTGTTGATGGAGGGGATGAGAGGCTGCCCATCCCTCTGTCGGGAGCTGGACTGGTGACGCCTGGACCTCGGTGAAATACCGGAGGTCCGGGAGACTGGTTCTGGCTCTATCCACGGAGGATGAGCAGTTTGTACTGATCCGTATTAGAGATTTTTGTTTGGGTTAGATCGCGTAAATATAAATGTGTCGTGTAACCTGCCAACCATCTGACACGGCCAATTCGTAACGGGACAGACCTTACCAATTGGCTGTGTCGGGCGGTGGCGGGTTTAACAATACATTTATATTTACGTGATCTAACCCATAAAAAAATGCTTTTATGGATAATTTTGGTCTCGAAAGCCCAGTTTGTATTTACAGTAAAACCTTGGATTGCGAGTAACTTGGTCTAAGAGTGTTTTGCAAGACGAGCAAAATTTTTAAATAAATATTAATTTGATAAACGAGCGAGGTCTTGCAATACGAGTAGTACATGTATACGCTTTGTCTGCCGAGCGTCACGTGATCACAACTGATATAGGAATGCTTTGATATACGAGTGCTTTGGATTACAAACATGTTTCCGGAATGAACTATGCTCGCAATCCAAGGTTTTACTGTAGTTCTCTTTTCAATCCTTTACTTGGGGCAGTAAAACTTCAGACAACAGCGAGTAGCTCTAGATTTGAAGCTTTCGTGACTGCAAGGATTCATACTCTTTGGTTTTTTCGGTAAAGTCCGGTGGGACCGTCACAGCTAAATTTACTGTATCAAGTGTTGCCTCCGAAACGTCGTGATTTAATTTAGTTATTTTTCATTTAATATTATTTTATTTTATTATAAAAAAAATTCACCTACGTGACTTTACCGAAAAAATCTAAGAGTAGCGAGTAGCTCTTCTGAATAAAATAAACGAAGGGGGCGTGGGAGCGGGGTGACAAGGTGTGGGAAGCTGCGAGTCCCAGTCTGCTGTAGCCTAGCATGCCTCGTAGTGGGGTCGACGACGATGATGATCGTAGTGATGATGGTGATGATAACATGAGCTTGTATGAATCGCAGACAGCTACGACCACGTGACAAGGTTTCTGGTGAAGCGCACAGGAGCTGAGCTGATATCCGTGGAGTGAGTACCCACAAAGCCATTGACACAGATCCCCAGTGGAGCCTTTGTGCGTGTGCAGTCATCAGCAGCTGGGCTGACATCACCGTCACTGGCTACACTCAGCAACCCGGTTTAATCTAAACAAAGATCCCCCGTATAGCCTCTACAGACCTTTTGGGGCAAGTGCTGTTAGCGAGCAGCACTCTATGAAGGACGCCATGCCACACCGATAAAGAGGTGGGTGGCCAAGACCACGCCTGGCCGCCTTTGTCTCCCAAGTGCCGATGTTTTGCACATCACACCAAGCACTCATTTGAGGTTGAGTCGACCTAGGGGAGGCTCAAGACCGGTTCATATATTTGTCACTGGTGGTGACCGTGAGCGGGAATCAAACTCGGGCCGCCGGTTTGTAGCGCAGCGCGCTAACCGCTACACTCATACACGCGCACGCATGTACGTGCGTTCAGATGTATACGCACACATTAGCGTTCGGACACGCAGACACGCACGCACAAACACGCATCGTCACGTGTCTCCGTGCAAGACTCCACTTCTGATCTGTACTTTGTGTCTTTGTGCAGTCTCATCGATGATGATAGCGATGATGGTGATCCCTTGTTATCTACGTTAATCGAGAACCCCAGTTTCACTTGCTCTGCTCTGTCCTCTCATCTCTTCCTGTTTCATCTCATCTGGTCGTGTATGTGTTAAACAATCCGCGTAACTGGTATCGGGCAAACACCAAAATGCTGAAAATATGACCTGACAATCACTCAATAGGGATCGCACTCAGCAACAACACCACCCTCCTACCCTGAACACTTGCCAGGGCACTCCTGAAAATAAGTCCTGAGACTCAGTGCGGATTTTCCTGGGTAAACTAGCATGGCAATAATAGAATATGGTTCAACCTGGTCTCGTATTATCCCAGACTTATCTGGTCTGCATCTTGTCTGGTGTCATCTGGATTCTTCATGTCATATGTGGTGTGTAAACTGGTCTCATCTGGTTTAAACTTCTCTTAGATTAATCTAATCTGGTCTGATCTGGTGAAAGCTGGTGCCAATCTGATCCCCAGCCTGATCTAATCTGGTCTCATCTGGTCCTGGACGTAAATCTAATCCGATCTAATCTGCTCCCAGACTTATTTAATCTTTCCCAGTCTGATCTAATCTGGTCTCATCTGGTCCCGGACTTATCTAATCTGGCCTCATCTGGTCCCAGAGTGATCTAATCTGGTCTCATCTGGTTCCAGACTTCTCTAATCTGGTCCCATACTGATGTAATCTGGTTTCATTCGGTCTCCTGCGATCTCCCCCTGGCAGGTACCGGCTGGCCCCGGAGCACCCGTTCCCGGTGCCGCTGGGCGACTGCGTGCGCGTGGCGCGCTGCGTACTGGGTGGCGGCACCGTGGGGCCGGTGGCGCTGTGCGGGGACAGCGCGGGGGGCAACCTCGCCACCGCCGTGGCGCTCACGCTCGCCAGGGACGCACGCACGGGAGGGCGGGTGAGCGAGAGGGTGAGCGAGAGGGTGAGCGAGAGGGTGATCGCGAGGGTGAGCGAGAGGGTGAGTGAGGGGGTGAGTGAGGGTGAGCGGCAACCTCGCCACGGCCATGGCGCTCACCCTCACCAGGGACGCACGCACGGGGTGGCGGGTGAGCGAGAGGGTGAGCGAGAGGGTGAGCGAGAGGGTGAGTGAGGGTGAGCGGCAACCTCGCCACGACCATGGTGCTCACCCTCACCAGGGACGCACGCACGGGGCGGCGGGTGAGCGAGAGGGGGAGAGGCTTAGTGAGGGTGAAAGATGGTGTGAGTGCGAGGGTGAGAGGTTAGTGTGATTGAGCAATGGTGAGGGTGAGTGAGAGGGTGAGGGATGGTGCGAGTGAGGACAGAAAACAATGATGATGTAACGGCATCGATGAGCTTTCAACAACACGCGCACAGACACGCGGAGAAAAAGCACACGGCTCTTTGCGGATTGTGCAAAACCATCAGCAGTTCCTGAAGAACTCCATAGCAGAGATCGCAAACGGGTTTTGATTCCTTACCCGTACCCGACCGCACCAGGGTCGCAAACGGGTACCCGTACCCGTACCCGGCCGGGTACGGGTAGCCGGGTATCGGGTAGGGTACGGGTATCGGGTACCCGATTGCGACCTCTGGGATGAAGCCATGTTGCAGGCGCGGGTGGGTTGATTCTAGGAACTTGAATTGTGAGAAGAGACAAGACGTTTGGAAATGAGTGATAAACAGTTACTCACCAGTGACTCACGGTCTACCCGTACCCGGCCGTACCAGGGTCGCAAACGGGTACCCGTACCCCTACCTGGCCGGGTACGGGTAGCCGGGTATCGGGTAGGGTACGGGTATCAGGTACCCGGTTGCGACCTCTGCTCCATAGTTGGCCTTCTTGTCTTCAGCAACGATGAAAATAAACTTGAGCGACTGTGACCGAGCGAGACAGAGATAGGCAACCGTATAGCGTGGGTTTCCTCGTCATCAGGACTCATCAGCACAGTAGCAGTGAGTCAACAGAATCTGAATATTAATATTTTTACTGCAGAACGTTTTCACAGGTGTCCAGTAGGGGCAGGTCAGAAAGTTACAACAACAAACAATACAATAGGAAAGGTAAGCAAGTCACTGAAATAAATATTTTTACTTTCATTGTTTTTTTTTCAGTAAAGTCACGTATGTAGAAATAAAATAAAATTTAAATAAAGAAAATAAAATACTATTTTATTTGATTTCTACACGCGTGACTTTACCGAAAAAAAAACAATGAGTATAATTTCTGCAGTCATGAAAGCTTCAATTCTATATTAAAAATATATACATCTATGTTTAATTTTCGATTTGAAGCTTTCGTGACTGCAGGGATTCATATTCTTGGTTCTTTCGGTAAAGTCACGTAGAAGGGAAATAATAAAATAATACAAATAAAACATTTCAGACGCTGTCTCCCCGACAGCCCTGTTCTTCACCTGAGGACGGCTGATTGCGTTGTGGCCGAACCGTCGTTAGAATTATTTTATTATGTTTTATTTTTATTATTTCCCTTCTACGTGACTTTACCGAAAGAACCAAGAAGATCTATGTTTAATTTACCAGCTAAAACCCACTGAGCTATTAGCTTCTTTTTCATCACAAATGATGGCTCCGACGAATTGGCTTATCATCACGTGGACATATAGAGCAGCGCTCACTGCTGCAGAGTCCGCTTCTGGGAGCCGTGGTACGCTGTGGAGTCACTAGGCCCAAACTGTGGGGCCCACGCAGTCGCTTGGCTCATGCCAATAACACTGGTCAACAAAAAAAAACATTTTTTTCTGGTCTGGACTTTTGCAGCTGTTTTAGACTAATTTCAGGGTGCTGTTTCCAAATCTGATCTCAGATTTGCTCTATCACATCTCATTTTTATGCTGTCGGCATACCCCATTTTCATTGATTTTACCCTAAATTAACTCTGTCACTTATGATTGCAAGTTGTTGCGAGTCAGTGACTGCTTTAGTGTTAAAATATGGTGCTGTATTTTTAGGATAGTGTGTTTATAATATCATTTTATGTAGATATCCACATTTATTTAATATTTTTCTTCTCCAGTTTTTATTGAAAATGTAATATTTGATATCTCAAAAACCTGATGTGATAGACAAAAACCGATGCCAGATTTGGAATCAGCACCCCAAAATTACCTTAAACCCGTTGGAATACCTTATGCCAGAAAAAGTGTGTTGACCAGTGCAATCATCACTCCCGACTATTCGCACTCGCAGGAGGCCACGGGGCCGGTGGGCTGCGTGACGCCAGTTCAACACCTCGTGGTAGTCTTTCACGGACAATGTTATCCATCGTCGAGGTTTTTTTTGGGTGAGATGGCAAAAATTAACCTGTAGAAACAAAAGTTTTTCACTATAAATCCTTTATATGCGTGGCATCGGTTTTATTTTATTATTCATTTCTGTTTTTCTTGAGCAAGATTTTCATTTTTATCACATTGGTATTTTTAATTAAATATGAAAAAAAAAATTTCCTAAAAAGTGGAAAATTTTGGAAAAAATTTTTCACGAAAATAAATTGTCACGCACAACGAGTCTGTGTGCAAAATGTCAGCTCGATTGGATCACGGGAAGTGGGTTAGATAACGACCGAAAGATTTGCACGGCCGTAAGCGCGCAAGCAAGCAAGCAAGTGAACTTAATATAAAGGATTTAAAAATATCAATGTGTTGTTCAAACAAAACGTGTCAATTTAGTTACGAGTTCAGCACAGGCCGGTCGCGTGCTGGAGAGTAAATCCACTACGACGTTTATAATTCGAGTACAGTGGCATTTCGCCGTTAATCACAACAACAACCAGGCGTATCGGGCGATTAGCCAGCATTGTGAAACCGCTTACCCGCTCGCTTGTCACAGTTCCTATGATTCTAGATTTGAAGCTTTCGTGACTGCAAGGATTCATATTCTTAGGTTTTTTCGGTAAAGTCACGTAGGTAAAAAATTAATCCGCACCTAGTTTACACAACAAAGGCTCATTCCTAACAGCGTGCTTCAGCCGCACCGAACCTCACAAAAATAATATTCAGGCCTACCTTGGCTCCTCCCACCCTCAACCAGTATATATACAAATACTGTGTTCTTGGTATTTCTCTCACTTGATACAGCTATCGTGCTGTGACGGTTCCACCTGAAGACGGAAGCTTGTGTTGCCTCCGAAACGTCGTGATTTTTATTTTTATTTTACTTTTAATAATTTTATTTTTTAACTACGTGACTTTACCGAAAAAAACCTAAGAATAAGTTCCTATGATCACTGTTTCATTGGTTTCATGGCTTTATTTTGGTGATTTTGAAAAGTGTATTGGTTTAGCCACGTTTGTTTGTTGTAGTACAGAGTTAGACTGATGGCCTTAATCTAAGTTGTCTTGTGGTTGTTGTTGGTTGTTTGACTTGCATCCCACTGGGATTTTTGCACACAGCGTTGGTGTACGGTGATTTTTTCTGCAATATTTTGCTTCCTTTTCTTGGATTTTCTGTTTGCACTCAGTCACACATTCACTTTAGATGTTTTTTTGTTCATGTTTTAGTTTTTTGTTTGTTGCGGTTGCACCCGATTCAAGAGCCGAATGGCTCACAGGGCTACACCTAATAGATGAACTTGACTTGAACTTGAACCCCTCCTCCCCCGCAGCCCCTCCCCTCGGCCCAGCCGGTGGCGCTGGCGCTGCTCTACCCGTCGCTGCAGATGATCGACCTGAATCTGGCGTCGCACGCGCAGAGCGACGCGGTGCCGGTGCTGTCGCGCGCGCGCACCGCCGCCTGCTGCCTCGCCTACATAGGGGCACCGCAGGTGCGGGGTGGGGGGGGGGCAAGGGTTGGTGGGGGGGTGGTGGGAGGGGGAGCGCCGCCGGTGCAGGGAGGGGACGTCGCAAGCGCGGGGGGCCGTAGGTGCGGGGGGGGGCGCGGTGGGGTGGGGGGCGAGGAGCCGCGGGGGTGGGTGGGGGGAGTGCTGCAGGTGCAGGTGGGGGGAGGTGGGGGGAGGCGGGGGCCGTGGTGGGGATGGTGGGAGGCAGTGCCGATGTGAGTAGGGGTGGTGGAGGTGGTGATAGCGTTGGTAGTGACAGACTTGGAGTTTAAGGTTGTGGTGTAGATGGTGGTGGAGGCAGTGATGGTGGTGGCCGTGGTGGGGGCAATGGAGATGGTGGGAGGCGGTGCCGATGTGAGTAGGGGTGGTGGAGGTGGTGAATGGCGGTGGTGGTGAAGGTGGCGTTGGTATTGACGGACTTGGAGTTTAAGGTTGTGGTGTAGATGGTGGTGGAGGCAGTGATGGTGGTGGCCGTGGTGGGGGCAATGGAGATGGTGGGAGGCGGTGCCGATGTGAGTAGGGGTGGTGGAGGTGGTGAATGGCGGTGGTGAAGGTGGCGTTGGTATTGACGGACTTGGAGTTTAAGGTTGTGGTGTAGATGGTGGTGGAGGCAGTGATGGTGGTGGTGGTGGCGATGGTGATGGAGGAGTCGGCGTTTCCCTTGGTACCACACTCATCGTCGCACGCACCAGATTTGGCGATGGCCTTTGGGACGACCAAGACGGTGGTCGCACTGCTAGCCACCACATCCCTGATGATAACACCAACGGTGCTGCTGATGAATCAACTGGTGATGACGCTGCTGCTGCTGCTGCCGACGCTGCTGCTGATGATGACGCTGCTTCTGCTGATGACACTGCTGCTGGTGACGCTACTGCTGCTGATGATGACGCTTTTGCTGGTGATGACGCTGCTGCTGATGACACTGCTGCTGGTGGTGATGCTGCTGCTGGTGACACTGCTGCTGCTGGTGACACTGCTGCTGGTGATGACGCTGCTGCTGCTGGTGACACTGCTGCTGCTGGTGACACTGCTGCTGCTGCTGGTGATGCTGCTATTGGTGACGCTGCTGCTGCTGGTGACACTGCTGCTGCTGGTGATGACGCTGCTGCTGCTGGTGATGCTGCTGCTGGTGACACTGCTGCTGCTGGTGACGCTGCTGCTGGTGATGCTGCTGCTGGTGACACTGCTGCTGCTGGTGATGCTGCTGCTGGTGATGCTGCTGCTGGTGACGCTGCTGCTGGTGATGCTGCTGCTGGTGACACTGCTGCTGCTGGTGACGCTGCTGCTGCTGCTGGTGATGACGCTGCTGCTGCTGGTGACGCTGCTGCTGGTGACGCTGCTGCTGGTGATGACGCTGCTGCTGGTGACACTGCTGCTGGTGACACTGCTGTTGGTGATGCTGCTGCTGGTGATGCTGCTGCTGGTGACACTGCTGCTGCTGGTGACACTGCTGCTGCTGGTGACACTGCTGCTGGTGATGCTGGTGATGCTGCTGCTGGTGGCACTGCTGCTGATGATGACACTGCTGCTGCTGCTGGTGACGCTGCTGCTGGTGACGCTGCTGCTGGTGACACTGCTGTTGGTGACACTGCTGCTGGTGACACTGCTGCTGGTGACGCTGCTGTTGGTGACACTGCTGCTGCTGGTGACGCTGCTGTTGGTGACACTGCTGCTGCTGGTGACACTGCTGCTGGTGACACTGCTGGTGATGACGCTGCTGCTGTTGACGCTGCTGCTGGTGATGACGCTGCTGCTGCTGTTGACGCTGCTGCTGGTGATGACGCTGCTGCTGCTGTTGACGCTGCTGCTGGTGATGACGCTGCTGGTGACACTGCTGCTGCTGGTGACGCTGCTGCTGTTGACGCTGCTGCTGGTGATGACGTTGCTGCTGCTGGTGATGACGCTGCTGCTGGTGACACTGCTGCTGCTGTTGACGCTGCTGCTGGTGATGACGCTGCTGCTGGTGATGACGCTGCTGCTGGTGATGACGCTGCTGCTGGTGATGACGCTGCTGGTGACGAGGGTCGAGGGGCACTCACCGACGCGCCCCTCCCCTGTGACCGCTCCTCATCACGTGCCACCTAGCCCAGTCTTAACAGCGACCCCGAAGTAAAAAAAAAAAGAAATTTTAGTTAGATATTGAGCCCTGTGTCTGTGTTGGCTGACCCCCCGCTCCTCCCGCTGCCCCCTGCCCCGCGCCTCTCCCTGCCCCCTGCCCCGCACCTCTCCCTGCCCCCGCAGGAGCTCGTGCCGGCCTTGCTGAAGGGGCAGCACAGCTCCCCGCGTCACCGCGCCGGCCTCCGGGCCCTCGTGCAGGAGGAGGAGGCGGCTTTGGCGCAAGGGGGCGGAGAGGGAGCGGCTCACGGGTTCACAGCCTCCACGCACGAGGATCCCAGCGTGAGGAGGAGGAGGATGAGGAGGAAGCTGAGAACGTCTCAGCCGGGAGGCGTCACGCCGTGTGGGGTGCCCGGCGTCACCCACGGCGCCGTGGGTGACGCTGGCGGAAAGGCAACGGAATATTCCGGTGATGGAGGAGGTGTCGATGGAGGAGGTATCGAGCGTGGGTTTGACGGCTTCGCTAGTGGCGTCGGCGAAGGCGGTTACGGTGTGTATGATGCCTGTGATGACGACGATGGTGATGATGAGGATGGTGGTGGTGTCGATGACGTCGGCGAAACCGCAGTTGCCAACGATCGTAACGCCGGCCTCGCCGCGGCCGACGGCGGCGCGGAGCGGCGGCGGCGGCGGCCTCCTCCCCCAGGCCTCTCCTGGATGGCGCGCGCCTGCCTGGACCCCCTGCTGTGCCCGCTGGCGGTGGGCGACGGGTGGCTGCGCCGTCTCCCGCGCCGCCTCTTCGTGCTGAGCTGCGAGCACGACGTCCTGCGCGACGAGGCCCGGGCTCTGGCGGCACGCGCCCGCCGCTGCGGCCTGCGCGTCACGCGGCACCACGCGGCGCACGGCTTCCACGGCGTCCTCAACTTCTACGGGAGGGACGGGCGGGGGACGGCCGCGGGGTGGCCCGGCGGCGATGGCGACGGCGGCGCCGGCGATGGTGGTGGAGGCGGTGGAGTTGATGGAGGTCTCGTTCGTGACGGTGGTGATGGTGGTGGTCTTGGTGGAGCTGATGGTCGTGTTGGTGATGGTGGAGTCGGTACGGTTGATGTTCACAGCGATGACGACGATGCTAGTGGTGGTGGTGGTGGACACACTCGTACCCGTCACATCGCTGCCACCAATGACAACAACCCTGCTGCTGCTGATGGTGATGATGATGATGCCGACGATGATGAATCCTCCGACCGTGCTGCTGATGACGACGATGACAGTGACGACGATGACGGAGGTGGAGGTGGCGATGGTGCCGAGCGGCCTACGGCCAGCGGGCCGTGCTGGCTGTGCGCGTGGTTCTGGCCGAGCCCCATGTGCTGGCTCTGCTCGAGGCCCATCATCGCCTTCCGCTGCGGCGAGGAGGCCCTGGAGGCCACCGCCGCATTCTTGCGACGCAGCCTGGCAGCCGCGGTCAGAGACAAAAAAACAAAGTGAACGGCGGTGGCAGCGGGGGGGGGGGGGGGGGGGGCCACGATCGACCTCGACCCTTGCATCGATCCCGGACGACGCCGGTGCTGACGGTGGTGGAACAGTTGCGACGCACGGGCCGTCTGGCAGGGCCCACGGCGAGCAGCGGCTCCTGCTCGCACGGCTGGTAGTGAAGAAGAAGATGATGATGATGATTGAAGCACCGCTACCAACTGTCACAACACCCTCGTTGATCTCTTGACTCAAGTTGGTTTGATGGACACAAAGTGAGCGGAAATCTGTTCTGTTCCTTGCGCACGATGGCAACGGCAGCATCGGCAGCATTGGCAGCATCGGCAGCATCGGCGTTGTGTGGTTTAGGAGCTCCATGGCCAATGCACCCATGGCACTGCACGTCTGTGGCTGTGGCTTTCGTCTTTGCGTTCATGAAGGAGGCGTGGAGCAGCATCGGCCTGCTGCACCGGGCAAACGAATCCATTTCCAGCGATTGCAACGCCGGTGCCTTGCCTTGGTTGTGACGTCATTGGGTTGGTTGTGACGTCATTGCACTTATTTTGACGTCATTGCCTTGATGTCGACGTCGACGCTTTGTGACGTCGTCGTCTTAATTGTAACGTCGCGTTGTCACGTCGTCGCCTTGATTGTGACGTCATCACCTTGATTGTGGCGTCATCACCTTGATTGTGATGTCGCATTGATCTTGACGTCGTGTTGATTGTGACGTCGTCGCCTCCATTGTGACATTGCGTTGATTGTGACGTCATTACCTTGGTTGTGACGTCATCACTTTGATTGTGATGTCCCGTTGATCTTGACGTCGTGTTGATTGTGACGTCGTCGCGTTGATTGTGACGTCATTGGCTTCATCGTGACATCGCGTCGATCTTGACGTCGTCTCGTCGATTGTGACATCGTCTCGGACGTGCGTACGTATGTTGAACTTCTTTTGCACCGTACGTTAGCCAGCCACTCTCGTGAGATTGTGACGTGGTCGTGGCCCGGTGGCGATGACCCCGTCGATGTGCAGGTGGGTGGGGGGGGGGGGTTCGCGATGCCACGATGCCACGATGCCACGATGCAAGCACCACGATGACCGCATCGTCAATCGGCCGCGTCAAATTTTCGCGATCGTTATAAGCTAAGTTTCGATTTCCGGACGGCATACGCGGTACGCAGTAACTCCATCGAATGATCGAGACTTACTTAGCGAATCAAAAAAAATGTTTAAATGCAAGTCCGGTAAGAGCTCGGAGTATGCTCATACACAAGCGATTCCTCCCCCCCCACCCACCCCCACCCCCCGATTCATCTCTATAGTAACATAGTATCTTCTTGGTTCTTTCGGTAAAGTCACGTAGAAGGGAAATAATTAAATAATAAAAAATTTACATAATAAAATACAATTCTCACGACGTTTCGGACACAACGCAAGCAGCCGTCCTCAGGTGAAGAACAGGTCTGTCGGAAAGACTCATTCAGACGCTGTCTTCCCCACAGACATGTTCTTCACCTGAGGACGGCTGCTTGCGTTGTGGCCGAAACGTCGTGAGAATTATTTTATTATGTTTTATTTTTATTATTGTATTATTTCCCTTCTACGTGACTTTACCGAAAGAACCAAGAAGATGAATCCCTGCAGTCACGAAAGCTTTAAATCGAAAAGTAACAGTAGTATATAGTAGTGTATAGTGATGCAGTAGTATATATATACACTAGCAGAAGTACCCGGCGTTGGCCGGGTGAAAAATATATTTCTTACTAACCTTACATATTTACACAGATACTAAGGTATTGTCAAAGCCCGGTGGGCTTTGACAATACCTTTCACCACTCAGCACTCACAACTCACCCTCACCACTCATCGTCACCACTCTCACTCACTACTCACCCTCACCATTCACCATCACAACTCACCAATCTCCCTCACGAATCTCCCTCACCCTCACCACTCACCCTCACCACTCACCCTCACCACTCACCAATCACCACACACCCTCACCACTCACTCTCACCACTAACCCTCACCACTCACTCTCACCATTCACCCTGACCATTCAGCCTCACCACTCACCCTGACCACTCACCCTCTGCCTCACCACTCACGCTTACCACTCACCCTCACCACCACCACTCACCCTCACCACTCACGCTCACCACTCACTCTCTCCCTCTCCACTCACCCTCACTACACACTAATCACCCTCACCACTCACCCTCACTACTCACTAATTACCCTCACCACTCATCCTCACTACTTACTACTCACCTTCACTACTCACCTTCACCACTGCCCCTCACCGCTCACCCTCACCACTCATCCGCACAACTCACCCCTAAGCACTCACCCTCACTACTCACCATCACCACTTACCCTCACCACTCACCATTCACCACTCACACTCACCACTGACCCTCACCACTCATCCTCACCACTCACCATCACCATAAACCCTAACCACTCACCCTCACCACTAACCCTCACCACTCACCCTCACCACTAACCCTCACCCTCACGACTCACCCTCACGACTCACCCTTACTACTCACCACTCAACGTCACCACTCTTCGTCACCACTCACCCCTCACCATCACCACTCACCCTCACCACTCACCATCCCCATTCAACCTCACTACTCACCCTCACTACTCACCATCACCACTCACCCTCATCACTCACCCTCACCACTCACGCTCACCACTCACCCTCACCACTCACCCTCACCACCACCAATCACCCCTCACCACTAACCCTCACCACTCACCCTCACCACTCACCCTCACCACTAAGCCTGACCCCTCACCACTGACCACTCACCCTCCCCACTCACCCTTCCTACTCACCACTCAACCTCACCACTAACCCTCACCCCTGACCACTCACCCTCCCCACTCACCGCTCACCCTTCCTACTCACCACTCAACCTCACCCTCACCACCCACCACTCACCCTCACCACTCACCCTTCCTACTCACCACTCAACGTCACCACTGACCACTCACCACTCACCCTTACCCTCACCACTCACTCTCACCACTCACCCTTACTATTCACCACACACCCTCACCACTGACCCTCAACATCAACACTCGCCCTCACCACTCACCATCATCACAAATCCTAACCACTCACCCTCACCACTCACCCTCACCACTCACTCTCACCACACCCTCAGCACTCACCCTACCCACTCACCCTCACCACTTAACCTCACCACTCAACCTCACCACTCACCCTCACCACTCACCCTCACCATTCACCCTCAACACTCACCCTCACCCCTCTGCCTCACCACTCTCCCTCACCACTCACCGTCACCACTCACCCTCACCACTCACCACTCACCCCTCACCATCACAACTCACCCACACCACTAACCCTGACCCCTCACCACTGACCACTCACCACTGATCACTCACCACTCACCCTCACCACTAATCCTTACTACTGACCACTCAACCTCACCACTCTTCGTTATCACTCACCCTCACCACTCACCCCTCACCACTCACCCCTCACCCTCACCACTCACCCTCACCACTCACCACTCACCCTCACCACTCTCCCTCACCACTCAAGCTCACCACTCAACCTCACCCTCACTACTGACCATTCATCCTGACCAATCACCACTGACCAATCAGCACTCACCACTCTCCACTAACCCTCACCACTCAACATCACCACTCACCCTCAAAACTAACGACTCTCTCACCACTCACCCTCACCACTCAGCACTCACCCTCACCACTCACGCTCACCACTCACCACTCACCCATCACCACTCACAACTGCCACTCACCGTCACAACAACCACTCACCCTCACCGCTCACCACTCACCCTCAGCACTCACCCTCACCACTCACCCTGACCACTCACCCTCACCACTAACCCTCACCACTCACCCTTACCACTCACCCTCACTCACCCTCACCACTCACCCTCACCACTCACCCTCACCACTCACTCACCCTCACTACTCACCCTAACCACCACTACTCACCCTCACCACTCTCCCTCACCACTCTCTCACCACTCACCCTCACCACTCACCCTTCTCCCTCAACACTCACGCTCACCCTCACCAATCATCCTCACCACTCACTCTCACCACACCCTCAGCACTCACCCTCCCCACTCACCCTCACCACTTAACCTCACCACTCAACCTCACCACTCACCCTAACCACTCACCCTCACCATTCACCCTCAACACTCACCCTCACCCCTCTCCCTCACCACTCTCCCTCACCACTCACCGTGACCACTCACCCTCACCCTCACCACTCAGCCTCACCACTCACTCACCCTCACTACTCACCCTCACCACCACTACTCACCACTCTCCCTCACCACTCTCTGACCACTCACCCTCACCACTCACCATCATCACAAAGGGTGAGTGAGGGAGAGTGGTGAGGGAGAGTGGTGAGGGTGTATATATTTGTGTCTATGAGGACAGCAGTACATGCTGACGTTTTGTATGTTAAATGTAAAAGCAAAATGTGTGAATGTGTGTGTCTGCGACACGCAGTTTGTTAAAAAGGGAATAGGGCGATTTTAAAGTGATCTACAACCCTTGAATCCTTCGCAACGATAGCAAAGAATCGCTTATTTTCACGCTTGGGCTACATGTTTAATTACAGAATTTTATTTCCATTGGTATGTTATGTTTGAAAGTTTTCAGGAGTTTGTAATAATATTTTGGCCCCGGTCAACGCCGGATATTTGCCATTTGTAGCAGTTTATATCGACTCTATAATCAACGTATTTGAAAGGGGAACAGGGCGATTTTAAATGAATTAACAACCATCGATTCCTCTGGGCGATTCAGAAAATCGATTCTTGGCGCGTCGGGTTTAAAAGTAATTACACAGTTGTATTTTCATTGGTATGTACGATTTTAAAGTTTTCAGAAAATTTTAAATGTATTTCCCCCCAGGGCAATGCTGGGTATATCGAGTTTATAGCACAAAAAGTCTTCTCCTGACACGTGTGGGGTGTGGAGGCCTAGTACCGTGCAGAGCC